ACTAAAGAGGTTTTATGTAGCTGTATTGCACATACCAAAAGCTTTTCTGCAGTTAAAGGTTGGTTGCCTAGTTTTTATTTAGTATGTACAAGTTTTTCCCTTTATCTCTTCTAATTTAAGAAGCAATAATGTCTCTAAAAATCTTATGGTTGGCATGAAGTATTCCTGTTCATTTTACTGATTACTTACAATTGTCCTATTTCTGAGGGTCATCTTCTGATAAGTGTGTTCTCTGCAATGTTCACAATTAAAGTTCCTGTTTGACCTGTTACATATTGAAAATCCTCAATGAACATGATTATGGTTTTAATTTCCATTGTAATCATTGATTACTTTTATTTAAAAAAATCTAAACCAATTTATTGTAACATAATACTTCGGATAATATTTATGTAATATCAATAGAAAAAAGGAATCATTGTCTCCAGTTATCCTAAAATCACAAGTAAGCATTAATTATATAAATTCACATACGTAAACCAGAGACATATAAAACCAGTTTTATATGTCTCTGCGTAAACCCATTAGTTTTTTTGCTCTTAAATCATAGTCATCGCTGTGCAATAAAGGAAATCAAGTATTAATCCACAGCTTTGTGGCAATAAAGTTACTATCCCCGAGTAAAAAGTGACAAGCCCAAATATAGAGGCAAAAATTAAAAAGGATACATTGAAAAAAAGTTCATCGTGAAAAAAGTCAGGGGCCCGTTTCATCAAAAGTCGTAAAGTTAAGCCTTAACTTTGGCGTACTTCCGGGGATTACGCCAAAATTTAGTCAAGCGTAATTTGCGTTTCACCAAGTGGCGTAAGTCTAGTCGTAAAAGATACGCTTAGTCACAGGACTGAGTCCTTGACAACGTTGCATTGCGCAGGCGGAAAAACGTAAACATTGCCCAAAGCGTACAAACGTATTAATTGTAGCACGTCAAAGTACAGAACAAGAAAGCATTGATGTAACCATCAATTGTCGCCCGGGAAAATTCAAGTTAGACACACGCATAAATTCAAGTTAGACACACGCATCACCTATATTTAAAATGTATTATTTTTCAATTTTATAATATAAAACACGAACTGTGCAGAGTACGTTTTTATCCGAGAAGTAAAATTTGATGTTCTAAAAAAGGGACCTGTCGTTTTTTTTTAATAGAAAATTATAAGCAACTATATATATTAAATATGAAAAACGTATATATTTTTACAGATTCACTTTATGGAAGTAATTATATTATGTATCTCGTAATTTATAAACGGAAAGAACATTCTGATTAAAAGTCTTTTCAATATTTAGAAAACATTTGATTGTAAATAAATACTCCCACCCCAATCCCCATACACCCACACTTAAACTTATATGTATAGAGCAGCCCGGTCCTCCAGACTCCAATAACACAAGTTATAGATAAATTAATACTTGCACTAATTGAAACATGCATGGGTTTATAGTGTTATGTAAAAGACATGCATCTTTTAAGAAACCAATTTTAGTTTTTTACAATATTTCAACAACAAAAGTCTAATAAATTGAAAGGATGAAAAGGACAGTACACATGTACTTGTATTTCGGAATTAAGCAAAACTATTCATTTTGGAAATTTAATTACAGCCATACCCCCTCTTCCCGAAATTGATACAGGTTAATAACTTCGCCTTTGATAATAAATTTCATGATTCGATAAATACTGATTCTACTGACAAATACTAATAATTAAGTTTGAGACAGAATAAGATTTAAAAATTTTAATAAGAAATGTATATGCAAGCAAAAATAATGAAAACAAAATGCAAACGGTTTACATATGAACACATTTTGAGTCAAGAAATAAATTTTACACGTTTACTACTATAGTACATGTAAGATAATCCTCTCTGTATTTATTAATTTTTTGTCAATTCAATTGATTCATAATTGTTCAGTTATAGAAAAAAATTCTTCACTATCTGCAGATTAAATTTGATGTACCGTTTTAAAAGTACGCAGAGAGAGAGAGAGAGAGAGAGAGAGAGAGAGAGAGAGAGAGGTTTGGAAAAATGACTACAAAGATATTCTTACAAAAATTCTCTACTTGTGTGGTCTCTGTCTTTAAAATTTAGTTACAGCTACTCTTTATTTTGTTTTCATTAAAATGTAAGTAATGCAGGAAATCAAAAACATGTATGTTTTCATCTTATGTGTGCTTTATATGCGCTCAGATTATCTTGTACTATGTAAAATTTGCTCTTTTAAACAAAATCATCATTGAGCTGATTGAGTAAATGTATAAAATTTAATAATGAGATATCTGTGAGGCATATATGTACATGCAAATATTGCTATATTAAACAAAGGAAAGGGGGAATTCAAATTAGGAAATAAAAGATCGTTTTTTTAGTAAATCAGTTTTGTAGTACTGCAAAATGGATGCAGTTGTGGAAATTTATGGATAATATGAGGATGCTGTCTGGAATACTTCCATATTAGGGAATTTAATAGCAAAAAAAAGTGAAAATACCAGTGGTGCTTTTCATGTATTACATGTGTATTTTAAAATTCCCAATAGCCCAAGGGGATTCCTCAGTGCAGAAAACCACTAGCCCCATCCTCAAAAATGGAAGCCCCGGGTGTAGCGCAATGCTAATTACACACCCATCATGTGAAATAGTTATAGTAGCCCTATATCAATTTCAGTATTGTTTTAAACTAATTAAAACAAATGACAAAAACAATAATTAAAAAAAAATCAAAATAAAGCAGACACTCAGTCAAAATCAAAGACAGAAAGAAGCACTGTTTTGACTGAAAGTTTTTCAGTAATACAATGAATCTCTTAAGTTACATATCAGATGAGATAAACTTACATACAATTATTTAGTTGTTGTCAATTATCCCATTTATCATTATCTTGGCTCACTTTGCGATTGTAATACTGTCTACATGAACCGATAATATATACTGGTGTCTCATTATATCGCGGTACTTAATCCTTTTGCATGAAAAGTGTTCTTCCAATTTTTTACTTTTAACTCTCATCAAAAAATATCCACAAACCAATTCATGGACCAACTTTTTAGTGTCAAATTATTTCCCAAGCTTACGTCGTTTAAGTTACTGTCTATTTTTAAAACAGGAAGTCTTATTTACCTCCTAAATAGGAGAGTCTCATTGTATCGCGGTATGGGAAAACATAGAAACTTGTCGATGACATGGACCTAAATTTTTATTTTTGAATTTACGATGTAATTCCACAGGAAAAGTAAACAATATATACCAACTTCAAACCTTTAAAAGATGAACTATACTATAATTTTTACTAGGTTATAAATTTGTTGGTTAAAAATAATAACAACGTGACTGAAAATCTGTAAAAATTACGTTTTTTAAAATATTTTTTTCAAACGGATGTTCACTACTTCTTAATCATCAAAAAAGTAAACATTCAGACAACATAAACGTACTGTCCATCAATAAAAAGAATACAAGCTATGTATCCAAATTTTTGCGACATACCGCGATACAACGAAACCCGCGATATAATGAGAATCGAGTATACAGCTGATTTATGAACACACAATTGTTAGAATTTTCATTTCCCTTTCCAATATACATTGTCAGAACATACTTAGTTGGTTATGATATAAAATTAAATAATAAACACTTTCGATTTATTAAAGATCATCTAACAATATACGATCATTTACTAAATATTTCTCGCCCTCAAGAGAGTTAAAAAGACAGAGAAAATTCAAAATACAAACAAGTGCAACTTAGGATTAATTGTTCCGATATATCTATTTTAATTTTGTGCACAATTGTTTTCAAAATTACATTAAAATCTATTTTCCTTAAACAAGAACCCAGCAATGGATAAATATTAATCGAATAAACTTACCTTTTCTCTTGTCAATCAGAAAATCTTGTTGACATAAAGTGTTTCTTAGTCGCCATATTTTTTTTCCATGAAAACAAACGTTGTTGTGATCAGGATCAACGGAAGTTGAATTTCGGAACTCTCTAGAATTTAGAGTTCCGAATGTAAAACTGAAACAACAAAACACGGTGCGTCCGTGAAAGCAACTTTTTTGGACACTTTTTTGGACAAATCGTCGTGTCCAAGTTTTGTTGGGTACTAACCTGCAAATACCCAATTAGGGTGTTTTAAGCATATTCAGCGACACTTCTTATTGGGTATACCCAATAAGCAAAAAGTACCCAATAAGTACAATCTTGGCATGAAAAATACCCAATAAATGCACTCTCGTAAACACGGACGTACAGACGGACGGACGGAATTAACGATTACTATATACCCTCCCGCTTTTCAAGCGGGGGGTATAATAAGTGCTGGAGGAAAACCAATTTGATTGTGTAGCGATGTATGGGAGCAGATCAAAGGATCTAATTTTAATCAGATTGAAGGAAAACGAAACTGCGGGCAGAAAATTGAGGAACAATCACTTGCGTGCATGAACACTGGTGTTTTATTTATTGAATAAATATGTAATGGAAACAATTTTAATCTAAAAATTTTCTAAAAGAGGGACAACTGGAAGTAAATAAACGTATTCTTGACTAAGTATTTTCTGAGACAGATAACATGTGCGGATTTAGAAGGGTGGGGTGGGATTTACGGGACATAACCCATCCCAACTGAGATTTTTTTAGACGCGATAACTTGGTAGAAAATCAATTCATTTGTCTATTATCTATTATACCATATCTTCCGGTTTTTTTTTTTTTTTTGTCAGTCAAATTTTAGAGATTGTTCCTTTGCAGGTTCAAATCATCTGCTGAATGTGGCGAGTGGTCTATAGGAATATGACATGTAAAAAAAGTTCCCGTGTAGCGATAAATGTTAACAAGTGGTGGCGTTTCCACATTAGTAAAGTATTCTCGAGGGATTTAAATCAAATAATTTTTAACTTAGTACTTAAATTAAGATAATTTCCTCATCAGGAACAACATTTAATACCGTTATAAAAAATCAAAGAAAACATTTTTATATAAAAAAAATAATATATATAATGCATAAATCATCCTGCATTTTTCCAAGAAGCTAATATTGTTACACATACACTGTAAGACATGAGACCCATACTATGACACTAATTACAAGTGGGCAACAATTAAATTCGCTCTGTTGATTCTCTTTGACACTGCCTTTCTTCATGTCTCCTATGTAAAATTTTCTTCCTCAAGTTTGGCCCAAATCATCCCTTAGAATCATGCTTTATATAAAATTAAATCAATAATACTCTAAATGCACAAAAATATGGCAAAGCAAAGTTTTTAGCCTTTTAATATGCTTTTTTTTTACATTTCAACTGCTATATGTACCTGTAGCATACAAAACAAGCAAACTAAATACAATTAACAAAAATTAAAAAAAAAATTATAAATTCGAGGTTGAGGGAAAATTAATATCGATATTCTCATACATCGTGTTTGTTCTGTGGTAATTGACAGTTGTATCGATGCTATTCATATCTGTTCTATTTCGCCGGTCATAGATATACACAAAAAAGTGAGCAAATATTAATAAAAGATCCACACATCCAAGCGTCTCTATAAGGATGAGAAGAAGTTCATTTATACTAGAAGAGGTTCCTCGTCTGACATCGACAAAAGTAGAATTCTCTGTTTTGGAAATAGTACTGATTCCAATTAAAATATTTTCTGTTGCATTGCTAGCAAATGGAAAAGTTTGTCCATCTAAAGAGCATAATAAGGAATAATAACAAATAAATGATAAATGATTTATAAATTCCTAAAGAAATGTTACTTGTAACTTAATCGAAGGAGAGAGAGCAAAATGGAAAGAAAGTTTAACTAAGTTGCCTAAAAACTTTGTATATTTATGTACTTCAGAATCGTAAACTTTCACTTGCTAAATCTTTTGACCTCAAAGTCATCCGGGAAAAATTACATGAACTAATAATAGAGCCAAAAATATTCCTATAAGCCCTTTGTAAAAGCACTCTATGATAACATTTCTATTTTTAGATCTAATTAAGAGAGATACATGTATGTAACTTTTTTACTTAAAATACTCATTACACAATCAAAAGTGTATTTAAGTCAAATAATCTAAATTGTGCCTCAAAACATCGATCAATAATTCTACTCATATAAAATCATCGTATAAAATTATGAGAACTGAATAGACAAGTAAATTATAAATGTATAGTACAAGTGTTGATCACCAATAATTAAATCTAAAATTCAGTCAAAGAATCATCTTACCAGTGGTAACATTTTTACAATCGGTGGAAACATCACATGTGTTGTTGTCACAGTCACATCTTTCTTGACATCCCTCTCCAAAAAAAGGAAAAGGACAAGATTGACTACAATTTACTCCACTGTATCCTGGTAAACATTCTAGATAATGATAATATAAGTGAATAAGATTAAAACATGTCTTATATTTCAATTTAAGAAAGATTTATTTTGATCTTTACAGGAAAAATGCATCTTTTTAGAGGCGCTAAATGATTGTGTTGATCATAAATAATTACAAATCATATCAAAACACTATTCAGAATAAAAATCAAAATACTATATGTTATCTGAATGTAACAATCATTTTTAATTGACAGGGCTTTATTTAATGTTTTGTTCCTTCATTTTTTTCATAGTTACAAATTCATAAATGGAAGTTATTTTGCTTAATGAATGTTCATAGAGAGACCTATGTCAATTATATGCATCTGACTGACCTTTTTCATACTAATTGTTAAGCCATTAAATACACACTGAATAATCGAAGGATTTTTCCGTTAAATCTTTTTTTTATTATTAATTTTTCTAACCAAAGAGATAGTAGCTAAATATATTTACATCTATGCTATACACAAACCCACGCACCCTTTCACACTATCCAATATCCATCTATAGATAATATTAAAAGAAAATGATATAATACATGTAAATTCAATTGATCACTTTTTCCTTCAACACCTAATACTTGTACATCTCCAATAAATCTTGATTGTTACAAAAGGCACATTATTTTGCTGGGTAATAAACAGGCGATATTCACTCCTCTATGTAACCTGATCCCACCTCTGATGTTTTGGGGGTCTGTGTTTGCTTTGCTCCTACTTTGTATTGTTTAGTGAACTTTTGAACTTGAATACTGTTCGTTATCTCCATACACATGTATTGCATGCATGTAATAAGCATCTTGTTTCTCAACAATAGTGTAGTGGATACCAAAAACACTAAATGAGGAGTATTTTAGACGTGAGATACGAAAGTTGGTTCAAATGTAGTGTCACTGTGTCCATATCTTTAACATTTGGCGTCATATCATCATCATCTCCAGGAGAGACAGTGACGATGATTAATCTGACACACAGACGAAATAATGTTAACAGAGACTTGTTTATAGATGGTTTCGGTGATTTTTGGCAGGCCATGGGCGTCATCAAATGAGCAGCAGAGGACAGGAAGACCGAAACAGCCATCGAGCGGAATCGTTCAATACTTGTCTTACGTTGGAAAAAAGAGAGACGTGTCACTGTTATAGCTATATGAGAAACTTTAAATGTGTCTGATGGTATTGATCAAAGAATTCTGATAGAGGATTAAATAATATATAGAGAGTGAGTGTACAATATACGTAGGTGCCAATAATACTTAAAATATTGAATTACTGTGTTTGTGAATCTCAAATATATTTTAATGAAATGAAGGGGAAGCGAAGTGTTTGACAACGCGAATACATCCTATGATATTATTTAGGTGCGGCAACTACCATAATTGCACTTCATATATAATTCGATATTTTGAAAAGTATAAATTATTATGATTTATATAACGAAGCTACGGGGATATATAGTTTTGTCCCTTTAGCCCCTATGTCTGTCTGTCTGCCCGAAAAATACTTTAACTTTGCCAATGAATTTGGAGTGTGATTGGTTATGGTTTTTCATATTTCACAGGTGTTTTCCTTGTGACATGACCTTTCTTTGAGTGCAACCAAACTTGAACAACTTTTGACCTTGGATTTGGACATAATTCTATAAAAAAATAACTACCATATTTACCTTGGAATAACTAATGAACAGTTGGAGCAGCTACGGCGTTCATAAATCACTTATGCATTTATTGTATCAAGACCTTTCAGTGGGAATAAATATAATTACCTTTGACCTTCGAGTTCGTTCCACCTTTTAAAAAACTTAAACCTCGGTCATAACTTTTAAAAGTAGCGCTTTCGTATTTTACGGGTGGATTCCTTGCTAAAAGACCTTCCTTAGCGTTAATCTACCAATAATTTTGTCCTTAGCCTTTGGCCTTGCCATTGAATTTGGAATGGGATGAGCAATGGCTTTCACATTTCACAGATGTATTCTTTGTAACATGACCTATTTTTTGAGTTCCACCAAATTTGACCTTTTATCCTTGGAGTTTAACCTCATTTCACAAAAATAACTACCACATTAACCTTGGCCATAACTTTTCAACAGTTGGAGCTAGGGCGTTCATAATGAACTTGTGTATTCATTGTGTCGACGCGTTTCAGGGCGTTTAAATATTTTTATCTTTGACCTTAGAGTTTGATCCACCTTTTATAAACTTTAACCTTGGTCATAACTTTTGAGCAGTTAAAACCAGGGCTTTCATATTTCAACGGTGAATCCCTGGTTACAAGACCTTCCTTAGCGTATAGTATTAGCGTATACCAATAGCTTAGCCCATAACCTTTGGACTTTGACATGTATTTGAGAAGTCTTTCCTCACCATAAACTGTCATACAGGGGGATCAGTGTTTCACAAACATATCTTTTCTTAAATAATATTTTCCGAAGGATCTTCGATTACTAGAAAGGTTTTTTGACGTCTGACTATACAGCTCAGATACTAACTTAGAAATGGGAAAATTTCATATTCACAAGATTTTTTTAATGAAAGGGGCAAGTAATAAATAAAAAAAAAAGATGACATAATACGAGTATATAATTATGCGGTAAATATTACAAATCGCTATGTTACATAATTTAGTTTCTGCAACATGTGCAAGTGTATATTTCTTTTAAACAAAAAAAGCATGTAAAAATATTCATTTTGACTTACTTTCGCATTGTTGGGTTTCGTTATTCCACTTGTAATTTGCACAACAGTTTTTGAAGCCCCTGTAAAGGCATAATTCCGAGTAAAATACTTTGTTTTTACTTCAGCAATGTTTGATATTTAATGATAATGATTAAAATTAAGGAATAGATCAAATATAACGAAAATACTTACTTTTCACATTTTGGTGTTTCTGTTGAACATGAACAAAGAAAAATTGGTGCGCTTAATACGATGAATGTTTCAATGATAGATGCAAAATGCTTCATGAAGTCTCGCACAGATGCTAGTATTATAAACACTAACAAATTTGTATATCATTTAAATGAGAGAAAGCTGCACACTTGAACATCTTTAATTAAATTTCCTTTTTCCGCTTGTGCAATGGGAATAAACAGTCGACGACCGAATTTTAAGGACCTTGTTCATGGTATACTCAGGCAGGAATATCTCTCTGTGTTTATATATGTTTTAATGTAATGTACGTATCTTATTTATACTGAGGATAATTTTTTATAAATATATATATCTCTAGAATAAAGTTTTAAATTATTTGTTTTTTATACAACTGCAAATACAAGAATGAGGTAATACGAAGTGAGGACAATAACTTCTTGGAAAACATTGAAACAATAACTCAGGCATTATTTATTACCTTTAAACCTTGCAATAAGTGGAAAATGAATCTTCATTTTCTTCTTCTTTTTTTTTTTTTTTTTTGAAAGGACAAGGTATATGGTTACAGCTAAACCTGGCCCCTTTTTACATTTGACGTAAAAATCAGAACAAAGTTAAAACTGACATATTTAAGAACTTAAATTAATGCATGTTTTAAATCCACCGCTAATTTTGATTCAACGCGTACATAGAGGCCACAGGAGGGTGCAGAAATAGGACGTTTCATGAAATTTCTCTATTCTGATGGAATTTCTTCAAATTTGAGATACTTTTCAGTTTAATAAAACATACTCGTAGAACACAAATTTGCTTATCTGAGATTACAAAATATGCAATTGATACCAGTGAATAAAATATATATAAATTTGGTAATTAGGCAAGCCTGTACTCTATGTTTTCTGAAAAAAGCGCTGTCAAATTGATTACTGTAAGATTGGCATGGAAATGAAAAAATACAGAAATAACAAATACCAAATTTGTGGTAGGGGCGATAAGGGGTTTTCAATCTATAAACTTTGACATAATTTTAAAAGACACCCCAAACAAGGGGCCAAAAAGGAACATTGCCCTATCTCCCCCCCCAAAAAAAAAAATAATAAATGGAAATTCATTTTTTATTCATTCAATGTTTAAAGGTAATGTATGAGTGTTCACCTGTATGGCAATCTTTGCGAAATATTAAATTTAGCCACATCAAGAAAGTCAAGTCATTTGAAATCTATTCTTAACTATTTTGAGCAAATCATAATTAATTTTATTACTGGTACAAGAACAATCTATTAATAGTAATGCTTCCTTATTTGTAGATTTTTGTATTTTAAAAAAAAACCCTTACTTTACAACAGGGTTGATTCAACTACCTGCTTAATACACATTTGATCTGCAAAAAATGAAGAATTTAATTTCATACGTGTGTTCCTCGTGACATGTCCTTTCTTTGGGTATCAATTAATGTATTTTTACCTTAGAATTGGCCCAATTTTTCAAGAGTGTATCCAACTTTATCCTTGGCGAAAGTTTGTAAACGTATGCTACTAGGGTCTTCATACTTCAAATTCGTATTTATTGTAACAAGACAAAAAACAAACGGAGATAAATATTTTTTTATTTTATTTTTACCTTTGACAAAAAAAATAAACTTTTGGGCCTATGGTTTTGAACACTTAATACTAGGGCCATCATAATTCACACGTGCATTTCTTGTAATTAGGATTTCTTTTGAATATACTAACAACTTTACTTTTTGACCTTGAACCTAGAGATTGACATATTTTGAGAAATGTTCTTCTTCGTTATAACAGTTGTCAATTTGTAAACCTGCAACGTTTACCGATAGCCGTCATCAGTGTTTGACAAACACTTCTTGTTTGAATGTTTTTTTTTAATGACATGGTTTTCAGTAACAGTTTACATTCTTCTAATTAAATATTTTTCAACAAGCCGTTTCTAGTCGTATGTCTACTATATCTTGTCAACATGACACGAAATGATTTAAATTGTTCAATCATTATGAAAATACCGGGTTCACTTCTCTGTCTTCTGTTGGGGGGCAAGAGCGTGAACAAGGTTCACTTATGGCCTTATTTGACCATGCGAATTTCTGAAGAAAAAAAAATATACTGCATGCTTTTTTTAGTTAACAATGCATTAAGTCATTTAGATCTCTGTTGATTTCAAATCTATAAATAAAATGACACAGTTTTCTGGTCAGCCATTGTATTATGACGTCATGAAATGCGTTAATTTTCCTCATATTCTGAAAAAGTCTACAAAGTGCCTAATTTTTAAGCTTTTTTTCGATATTTGATATAAAGTGCAACCTCTGATGTAAATTACTAGTATGCATCTAGTAAATGTTAAACATGGTTCTGAGGATTAAAAGACATGTTTTATTTTTTAGATCAGAATGCGATCATATTGTATTATTATCTTTCCTTACTGAAAGTACTCAAATATACCTGTTCACCTAAAAATTAAAGAATATTGCAATTTCATAAAGCCAGTTCTCCAAATCCTGGACGTTTAGGAGATATTTTTTTATAGGAAATGAAAGCACGAAGTCTCTTTTTTATTTAAATTTTTAAAATGGAACATCAAGTATTTATCAATCAACTGGTATATCTACAGGGCCATTTTATGCATGAATTGAACCAATGTCTTTTCAAACAAGAGGCCCACGGGCCATATAGGTAACCTGAGTATCAAGTAAAAACTGTCCAATAATTGAATTTGGTTCGTGTTTTAAAACAGAGGCCATGAAATTCACAGTTTTGAAAGAGGCACCATTTCTTATCATAATTATAAACTTAGCATTTTTACTCTTTTTTACGTAATACCAAAAGGCAGATCAGATTAACAAAAATAAAATGCACTTCCACTTTATAACCAATTGTGCACCCCAACCCAAAGAAAGCATTGACCCTGGAGCCACATATTTCAAAATTTTCGAAACTTTATCATAGATTTTATATCAACATAAATGGTTGATTAAGGCCAAAGAGCAGATTTCAAAGCATTAATTAATTTTCAGACTATGTAACCCCCCCCCCTCCGATACCCTTGACCTAGGGGGACATGAAATTAACTATTTTGCACCTTTCTTCCTCATAAATATATAAACTTGGATATAACCCAGTAGCAAAGGACAAAACATTCAAAGAATTCATGTATTTTTCACTACATAATCAAAAGACCCCCCCCCCCTCCTTACACCAAATGGCAAAACTCCCGACACCTGGGCCATGAAATTCACGAATTTGGGTGAGGCATCATAACCTAATACAAAATTAGTTTATTTTAATACCCAGGAGCAGAGAAGAAGATTTTCAAAGATATAATGGATTTTATTACATTTTTTCATTACAAAATCAATAGAGTCCTGCCCTAACACCAGAACCCCTGACCCTGGGGTCATAACTATGTACATGTACTTAAATTGTTCATTTAATATCATAACTATGTGCTGAAATTGTTTATTTAATATCCAGGAGATATACAAGAACATTTTCAAAGAAATAATGCATTTTCACTATATATAATCCATAGATCCCCGCCCTAACACCAGAACCCCTGACCCTGGGGCCATAAAATTACATATTTTGTTAGAGGCACTCTTGCTAACCATAACTATGAACGTATTGAGCTTATTTAATACCCTGGAGCAGAGAAGGAGATTTTCAAAAAAAATAATGTATTTTCACTATATATAATCAATAGAGCCTCGCCCTAATACCTGAACCCCTGTGCTGACCCTGGGGCCATAAAATTTACAATTTTGAAAGTCATTCTTACTCATCATAACTATGTACTTAGTTAGTTTATTTAATACCAAGGGGCAGAGAAGAAGATTTTCAAAGAATTAATGCATTTTCACTATATATAATCAATAGAGCCCCGCCCTAACACCAGAACCCCTGACCCTGGGGCCATAAAATTTACAATTTTGTTAGAGGAACTCTTGCTCATCATAACTATTTACTTAGTTTATTTAATACCCAGGAGGAGATTTTGAATGAATTTATGCATTTTCATTCTGTAATCAGAATCAGAATTTAAGAGGCACTCTTGCTAATCATAACTATGTACTTGGTGTTTTTAATACCCAGGAGCAGAGAAGAAGATTTTGAAAGAATTTATGCATTTTCACTATACAATCAATAGAGCCCCGCCCTAACACCAGAACCCCTGACCCTGGGGCCATTAATTTCACAATTTTGGTAGAGGACTCAATGCTGATTACAATCATGCAAACAGTTTGAGTGCTTGATGTCTAGGAGTAAAGAAGAAATTCTTTAATGATTTCAATAATTTTAGTGGTTTTTCTTCTACCCCTCAGGCCCAAGGGGAACACGGACCATGAAATTCACAATTTTTGTTTCCCTTAACCCATAGATGCTTTGTGCCAAATTTGGTTGATATTAGTTGTGTGGTTGCAAAAAGAAGTTGAAAATGTTCAAATATAATAAGGCACGACTGACGACGGACGACGCACAACGATAGACGAAAACTGATAGCTATAGGTCATCTGAGTTTACTCAGCTGACGTAATAAAAATCTATGCAACAGGTCTCGGTACAATCATGTCTCCAGTCAGAAGAACTGCCTGGGTATAAAAAAAATACCATTTCACGTGTATTTCACTTATTTCAGACTCCTGTAAATTGTGGTGTCCCCGTCACTTATACTCTTAGAAGAAACTTCTCTCTCAATTTTTTTATCACTTTTAAAAGTAACACCTATGTAGACTTTATACATGTCTACAATTCAAACATGCTGAATCAAGAGAGCCATAAGGACCAACATTGAAGTTATTTGGAAGAATCAGAACTCGTACAGTAAAATTACTGTGCATATATGTCGTAAAACTTACGGGTAATACGCTGTCATCATTTTTGAGGTATTAGTAAATATCTTGAAGAATTTTCCAAGAATACTAAGCACATGTGTTCAATAAAATTGGTACGTATTCATTAACAATTAAAAATCTCTTTTCATCCTTTTTTTCATGCGTATGTGCAATACAAAATAATACTTTAACTTCACAACATCAAACGATTTTTATGATGTACTAAAAAATAAGCCATGTTATATATTTACTTTTGTATTTAAATAATGGATGAACACTAAATACATGTACGAGTTAAACGTATTGAAATTGTATTATTTAGCTACAATTTGTTAGATTGACAAATAAATTAAGAAACAAATTAGAACAGCTTTAAACATCAACAGCTTTTTAAAAATACATTATTACCTACAAAAAATGTACACAAATAAAGATAAACCTAGCGTTAAAACTTCACAACTTATAATTAATAAAAATGCATTATATAAATGCCTACAAAAATGTACACAACCATAGACATTATAGATAAATCCTACAATATATCATATTATATATTATCAAAAATGTAATATTCCCTATAAAAATGTACAAGCGTACAGAAACCTTATGTTTAATGAATCACTGTCTAGTTTGTTGGGTATGCCAGAGCATCGACGGTTTTTCGAAACGTGGAATAATATGAATTAACAATTGTAAATGTATTCAGCTTAGCTTGGCTCCTGAATTTTTGCTTGGCGAAATTTACATTTCCGATCGGTAGAATTATCAAGAAATCAACTCACCTAAACTTTGGAAGAGTTATCACAGTGTATTCAGAAAGAAATTGAAATACTCTAGCATAAACAGCTTATCAAAATTTTATCATAAAAATTTCCTACAAAAATTGCCATGTCAAATTTAGTCAAGAAAAAAGGTATCATTCTAATTTTTTATTTGGGATGTAAATATGTAAATATAGCTTTGTCGAAGCGCTTTATAGTCGATTTGATCACGTGACAAAAACGAATTTCTATCTTAAGAAAGTTGCCAATTTCTTTTATTTACATTTACGTCTGATTTATGACACACAACATATTTCTATAATTTGAAACCTATTAACAAATTTTTTCATACCTCAACAGTATATATCTAGTGTGTTCGACACGTTGACCTCTTGTGACATTGCTATCAATATGAATTTTTCATGGCTAAACAATGAATTGTTGTTAATGCGAAGAACATATTTATACACAGGTTGAAATATATTCATACTGTGTTATGCAGGAGGAAACAACACATACATATAAAGCACGCATTTATTTCAGAACAACATCTTTCAAAATTGCAGTATGTTACAGGTAACATACATCTGTATAACCATGTCAAACTTAAATGTGTAATCATCCCACATTTAATGTTTAAATATCAGTCAAACACGTTGTTCTGAAGATTTATAATCTTCCAATCCGTTTTGTCTGTTACAGTATCTTTCAAGGGATACATTGTACTTGTAGATCTTTCATACATATACTTCTTATCAGAGCACTGAAAAAAGTTCATAAATTATTTTAATGATGTCTCCAGTTCTTGATCCTCATCAGTATTGATTTTTCTTGATTGATATACTTTAATTTTAATAATGCAATAGTTAAGGCTCAATCTGCATCAGTCTTTCTTCTGCAAATGTAAAAACAAATCATCTAGATCAGACATTCAACATGTTGTTTCTACAAACGTACATTATGTACAAGCTCACTCTTATTAATTATTTTAATTAATTGTTTCCTGCATTTAAGTACATAATATATAATTATGATAAATTGCAACATTGTACAGATTAATTATCAAATGTGCAATGAGATATTAATTAAGTCCATCCTAATTTTTATCACTTTTCGTTGTCTGTACTTGAATATGCTGATAAAATTTAGCAAATTTATACGTCAAAATTATAAAAAAAACAATTAGATCACTTTTGTAGCTTCAAGGTCTGACGCAAGTGACATATACACAAAAGTAAATTGTTGCCATTCAGTATTACAGTACTATCAGTTGATAAGGATGTAGATTTCATTGGAATCACTCTTTTTTATATAATTTCTCAATAGTTACTCCTATAATTTAAACATCAGAGCTCTTTAGTTACTAAGGTATTCAATTTTACTATCTAAAATACATATCATTTTTTTAATGATACTTATTACAACTTAGGTAAAGTGTTAATTTCATGCAATATTCAAGATATCCTTGTTGGGTAATATTTAATTTCTTAGGTATATTCATTTAAACTATATTAACAATATATTAAAGGATACTAAATAAATTATAACTCAGGCAAAGTGTTAAATTTAAGTATTATTTTGAAGTATCTTCCTTGGGTAATATTGCATTTTATAATGAATGAGCTAAAAATGTAAATCTATGGATTAGGAGAAAACTTTTAGTTTTACATGTGTTAAATTCTGTTTTATAAACATGTACTACATGTAGATTCTGTGCAAAATATATATGATACAAAGCATACTTGTATATTTGATCAAACACTCACTTTGAAGACAAACATGTGCATAAATAAGACACTGGGTGTTTTGTTTAACAAAGCACAACACCCTTTTTTGCTATACGACCATTCTGAAAAATTGAACTCAAACAAGAAACCCAAAACTCAATTAAATTTGGATCATGTTTGAACCCAAAGGCCATTAAATTGACAATTTTGAACGAGGCACCTTTTCTTATCATAACTATACACTTAGCATGCTTTGGCTAATTAGTACCTAAAAGTAGATAAGAGTTACAAAGAGAAAATGCATTTCCACTTTATAACCAGCTGTGCACCCCACCCCACAGGAACCAATGACCCTGGGGCAACACATTTCAAAATTTTTGATATTTTATTATTAATTATATTTCATCCTAATTGGTTGCTTCATACCAAAATGCATATTTCAAAGAGGATTGGTTTATTTTCAGACTATGTATTCATCACCCCAACCCCCTCCACCCTTGCAAATACTTTTGAATCAGGGTTCCTGAAATTAACAGTTTTGGAAGAGGCACCTTTCTTCATCATAAATATTTACATTTACTTAGATCATTGGCATAATAAAACCAGTAGCAGAATAAAAGATTTTCAAGTAAATTCATGCAATTCTTCTACATATTCATTAGGGCCCAGCCCTAACACCAGAGCCCCTGTCCCAGGGGCCATGAAATTCATAAATCTCGAAGAGGTTACCTTCCTTTTCATAACTACATGTATATACATAGTTCATTGGTTTACCTGTATAAACCAAAAAATGAGAGATTTTTACTTATATTTACATTTTTGACTTATTCATACTTTATATTTGCCTGATTGTTACTTTTAACTTGTGAAATGCCTTAATTTTTCAAACCCAACGGCATGTATGTAATCCACTAAACACGCGGAGCAGAGAAAAATTTATGACGTCACAGAGAAATTATTTCATTTTAACGTTTATCCAAACGCACATCTATGACCTCTTGACCCCATACCTGTATTTACACAGTTATAAAAACGCTTGCCTTTAGTAGTGTTATATAAAGGAAAACATTTGCAAATGTAAATATTTTCAAATAAATTCATGCAATTCCTCTACATATTCATTTGGGCCCAGCCCTTACACCAGGGGAACAAAAATGCATTTCAAATAATCAGTAATATTCAGCAAAAATGCATTTTAAATAATCAGTAATATTCAGCAAAAATCAGTAGTGCTCCTACCACACATGACCCCTGACCCTAGGTCAACACTTTGCACATTTTTTTTAAAAGGCACCCTTGCTTATCAAAAATGTTTTATTAATACCAGAGAGAACCCCTCCAGTCTTCCCCAGGGTCTTGAAACTCACAATTCTAGAAGAACGGCCCTTGCTCATCATAATTATATAGGAAGTTCATCTGCTAATTACCCAGGAGCAGAGAAGAAGATTTTCAAAGATTCAGTGTATTTTTACTGTATAATTAATCAATACAGCCCCCAGAAGGCAGAACTCCTAAACCTGAGGCCATAAAATTCACAACTTAGGAAGAGGCATTCTTGCTCATAACTACATGTATGACTGTATGGACTTAGGAAGTTTATTTAATACCTAGGAGTAGAGAAGATAATTTTCAAGAAATTAATGCATTTTTATTTTATAAAAAAAATAGAGCCCCGCCCTAACACCATAACCCTTGATCCTGGGGCCATAAAATTCATAATTTTGGTAGAGGCAGTTTTGCTCATCATAACTATGAACTTAGTTGGTTTATTCAATACCCAGGAGCAGAGAAAAGGACTCTCAAAGAAATAATGAATTTTTACTACGCGTAGTACATGTAGTAGTATATAATCAATAGAGCCACGCCCTAAGACCAGAACCCCTGATCCATTGGACCATAAAATTCACAATTTTTGGTAGAGGCACTCCTGCTAATCGTAACTATGTACAATGTTCTTAGTTAGTTTATTTAATACCTAGATGCAGAAAAGAAGATTTTCAAAGATTTAATGCATTTCATTATATAATCAGGAGAGTCCCCACCCTAACACCAGAACCCCTTACCCTGGGGCCATAAAATTCACCATTTTGGTAGAGGCACTCTTGCTTATCATAACTATGTACCTAATTCGTTTATCTAATGCCTAGGAGCAAGGAAGAAAGTTTTCAAAGATTTAATGTATTTTCACTATATAATTCAATAGAGCCCAACCCTAACACGAGAACCCCTGACCCTGTGGCCATAAAATTTATCATTTTGGTGGAGGCAGTCTTGCTTATCATGAAAATGCACTTAGTTTCTTTAATACCTAGGAGAAGAGGAGAAGATTTTCCAAAAAATAAAGCATTATCACTATATAATCTATATAGCCCCGCCCTGGCACTAGAACCCTTGGGCCATGAATTTCAAACTTTTGGTCAAGGACCCAATGCTCATTACATAATGCCAACAGTTTGACTGCATGGTGTCAAGAAGTAAAGGGGAAGATTTTTTTAAGATTTCATTAATTTTAGTGGTTTTTGCCCCACCCCTAAGGCCCAAGGGGAGGCGGTGATCATTAAATTCACAATTTTTCTTTCCCTTCACCCATGTATGCTGTATACCAAAATTTAAATCTTTCTTTCTTCATATCAAACTTTGAGGCTAATTGGTTTTTAAGTGAAGATTTTTTCAAGACCTCACCTAAACTGCATTATTTCTTAAGTATTGCTCCTTGACAGAAGTTTGCCATTCATTAATTGAAAAGAATTTCAATTTTGAATACCCTTTGCACAAGGATTCTCTGTGCTAAGTTTGGTAAAAATTGGTCCAGTTGTTCTGAAGAAGAGGTTGAAATTCTAAAAAGTTTACAACAATGACACATCGCTAACAACAGACAGCATAAAAATTTCGATCAGGGAAGTTCAAATGAACCTATCCTACAATCAAGCATCACAATATTTACCTGTTTTTCCATTTTCCTTCATGAGTAGATCATTCTCTTCTACTGTTTCTAAAATATTTCATTAATTAAGAATTTGTAAGAATATCTAGCATTAAGTTTGAAATTTATGAGTTAATCATTAATTCTTAAAAAAAATGATGGAAGTTTACTATAAAATGCATGCTTATTAGTAACCAATATGAAATATAACAAAATGCATTAAGTGCAAATTAGATGAAAGTGTTTGGCATCCCGTACGAAATTTAAGTCACGTATTTTTAAAAAAAAATCCAGGCGTATTTTAATCTAAAATCATTGTGGAATAATCTCTGTTAAAATGAATACATAAAACCAGGCGTATAATGTAAAATACAGGCGTACACGAGGCGTAATCCTCCCGTATTTTTTGCCGAAATATGCAAATGAGTACGAGGGGCGTTCAATAAATAATGTCATCAGCTCCGTGACATGCAGCATAGAAATCATATGACATTAAGCTTGACTTTCTCTAAAAATTGAATCTTTAATGAATTGATAACAGTTTATGTGACCACTTTTCATCGCATAATTTCATTGTGGGAAGCTGGAAAACAAGGGCTACTCGAGACACTGCATTAAAAATGAATGGTCAAGCATCAGTAAACTAGAGTAAAATTGAACGTGTCATTAAAGCTGCTGTAAAACTTGTAAAGTTCCCAAAAATTTATTAACTGAAATATGAGAAATTTACAGCAGCTTATGTCAGTTTCATACACACATGGACAGGTGGATTTCAAATAATAAAAATTATATAATGGGCATCAAAAATGGGTACTGTCCTAGTCAACAAGGACATACAACAACCAATATATATTAGCGATAATTCAGCAAATTATCACTGATTATATTTTATTGACTTTAAGTTACATAGCAAATTTGATAGACATCATTTTGTGGGTAGTTCACACTGTTTTAAAGAAACATTTGATTGTAAAAATGTTTAGTCCTCAAAGGTCATCCTATATTTTTAAAAATGAGTGAAAACAATTATTTTTAAACAATCAAAAATTGTTCTTATCCACGTTTTTCTAAAATTCAAACAGATCATGAAACTTGAATTCATTTTCCGTTAAACCCTCGAAACAAATTTAGATTAAGATGTACTTGACAAAACTGCAAAGGCCTAAGAAGAGCAAAAGTACACAAAAACAGTTTTGTACGCTATTTTCTTAAATGTTAGCGGTCTTGTTGTTCAAATTCATATATAGGGAGGCAGTTCAATTTCTGGAGGAGTCTAATAGGCAAAATATTTGCCAAAAAATTGAAAGCTTTATGAAAGGAAGGAAACAGAATGATAAATTCAATACATTAAAGTTCTTCCTGACAGCGCCCAAACCCATAGCCCATGAAGAGTAGAGGAGTTTTGGGGTAAACAGAAAGTTAATGTTTTGTCACATCAACAAGATTAGGTAGATCTTTCAATCTTTGACTTGTTTCATTTCACAAACTTAGTTAAACACCTTTCAGAAAGAAAAAAAAAACAAATATAGCAAACCATAGGATCTGCCATTTTCCAGTATACGATGGGTCATACTTAAAACTGTGTTCTAAAAACAATTAGAAATTGAATAAAAATGTTACAGACATGTGTTTTAATTAAAAGAGAATATTTTAGTTAAATCATTAAGAAAAAATCATAGAAAAGCGTTTTTTGTTTCTTTCCGAGCCCTGATGACATTATTTATTGAACGCCCCTCGTACGCCTGGAAATTCAAATACGCCTGGAAATTTTAATAATAGAATTACGCCTAGATTTCAAGCATACCCTTAAAAATATGGCTGCAAAATTAATACGCCTGTATAAAAATAATACGCCAGTAGAAAAAAATACGCCTGCATGTACAAAAAAATACGCCCGTACAAATAATATGCCTGCTTTAAATAAATTGGAATTAAATATTATAGTCACAGCTATGGGAACTTCAACTATAGTATGAATATAAATGTACAATCAACTTTAGTACAAAGATTTTTAACTACATATACTGAAAAAGATTAGACAAATTAAGCTTAGCATACATCATTTTTATTTTCTTAATATTTCTAAGTCAGTCAGTGTGATAAAATGTGAATGAGATTCAAATATTTTAGGATTGTCAATCATAATCTTACATTACTATTTTAAATCACATGCAAGTTACATGTTAGAATATATTAACCCTTTCACAGGATTTTAACATCCAAGGCTGAGTTTTATAGTAAACAATTGAAACATTCCAACAATCACAGTGAAACACAGTTTTGAGAATCATGCCGATTAATCCTGTCATTCTCATTACTCCTTAATTGGCATTAAAGATGCAAATCACAAACAATTCTGTCATTCACATTTCACATCATATTCCGATTAAATAACATTTTCTTAGAAATATCCACAAAAAGATATTTGAATGTTTTATAACAGCTGGCATTGCAAACAGTCATCTTCTTCCCGATGCAATCTTCCAATGGCTGCAGTTCACTCAGGAAAGCTTTGCTGCTGGTCAACACTTTTAAATATTGCAAGATTTTTTCACTTCCTCTTATGGTGTTTCATAATTCAATCAATTTTCGAACTGTTTTAAGGATTTAGAGGTAAATCAATTTCTGGAAAAAAAAACACAAGAAAATAATTTATGTTATTCAAAATGCGGCTGACCCAATTTTCAATTATTAACATCTGGCTCTGCAAATCAAAAGCAAGTGCAGCTGTATTTTATTTTCATAGATAAAAAGTTTCAGTGTTAAGCTATGTCACAAAATAATTACCTCTTCTACACAATCTGTGCTTTGTTCTGGCTTTCTCTAGTCTCATTGTTCTTGGCATGATCAACCTTGTGGTTTAAATTGGCGCAAATACTATACTTGGATGCAGTTGCTGTTGTTTAAAACCCCCTAGTAATCTAAACTGTTTTATGATTTCTGGAAGTTCTACACAGTACAATTTGTAATTTTGAAGAAAAAAAAAACTGTTTTTTACAGAACATAAAAATAAAATGTCATCAATGTTTAATCAAGGTATATTCACTATATGAATTCACTTATACTAGGGTGGGAAAAAGAACTGTTGAGAAACAAACCGGATATAAACTGATAAGCCGTTCTTAGAAAGGTTTACAACATTACAGATGAGTCGTTCCTAAACATGCTCAACACATCTGTAAGTAATTAGCACAATCCCAGCAGATTAGGCTATAGGGAAGTGAAAGTAGATGGTATTGTAATAGTATCTGAATATATCAAATATGAATCATTTTATAAGAAAGAAATTTAATTGATTTAATAACATGTATGTTTATAGCCTGACTTAAAACAAATAATGAAGTTCAAAGAATATATACTATTTACTTTACAGTTAGATATCATTTGTGTTAAGAAAAATAATATCATTAAAAAAAAATTGGGAATGACAAAATTTTAGGCCCATTGCATAAAGTTCTAAAAAAATCAGTTTAATTTATGAAAATTAAACTAATTGCTTTGATGTTAATTATTGTAATGTATATAATCATGCAATGTTTACAAATTTAGTTAATATACTTTATTTTTTGTTTAAGTTATATAATATCATAAAAATGTTTCTTCTGCAACTCAATACTTTTAAAAAAAGAGAATGAATTGACTAAGTTTTTTTTGCTAAGTTAAAAAATCCACCAGAATTTTCAAAAATACGCCTTTTGAAATTTTCTTAGTTTTAATTTCCTTGTGCCAATGAGACTAAGTAGAAAATAGGCCTACGCCCGGATTTAGAATTTACGCCTGGAAAAAAGGCGACGTATTTCTGACAAAAATACGTATACGCCTGAAAATGAAGCGTATTTTTAAGAATACGTCTCTTGTACGCCAGGATTTGAAAAAAATCCAGGCGTAATACGCCTCTGAATTTCGTACGGGATTAAGCTGATGCCTATTGGATATTAAGTGAAAAAACTTGGGAGGGGGAGGGTATATGAGAATCAATGTAAAATAAATAAACAAATACAAATGCATGTAATAAATTTACCTTTTACAGTAAGGTTTAGCTTTTCAGATTTAGCTGGACGTCTTTTCAGTACAAAAATTACAACAGCGGTTCCAGCTAACAAGACCAGAATGACTCCAATAGTGATTCCAATAATAAGTTCCAATTTTATATCTTTAACATTTTCCATATCTGACCTATAAATGAAGGGAACAAAAGAGCAAACATATTAAATCATACGGTACACTCTCATAAAGAATAAATATACATTGCATTCCTCATCACTTTAATCATAACTATTAATTGACGCTAATAATTGATGTTATAAAATAATTGAATAAGGGCCTGAGGTTCAAATAAGAAATGGCTACACTTTTGTTTTACAAGATATATGAATAAAGTCATAAATATCATTAACAGAATTTTTTATACACTATATTATATTATCATAATTAGATAATTGAATCAAAGTGTCTGCAGATAAATTTTCTATGATTGGTGATGATTATTATAAAAAAAAACAGGCTTAGATACAAAGGAAGGATAACTCTTTGAAGGAAATTGAAGCAGTGTCTGAAAGAGTTATCTCTCTTTGCATACATGTACAAGAGAATATTACAGCAAATTGTACAGGGACTGTATTAGAAATAGCAGCAGAATGTGTCAATACATTTTTTTTCCTAGAAAAATAAACAAAAGGTCTTGGAACATGTATAAAAGTGACACTCACTCTTCAACCATGGACACATTTTGAGTTGGTACATATGTGTCAGAGGTTGGGACAGAGGGGGCTGTAGTTGGATTCTGTACTGTGGATTTCTTTGTCAGTTCATAGCAACCGGGGTCTGAAAAATAAGATCAGGACCATTATTTGTTTAATTCAGATTAAGACAATTACTGTTTACTATCTATTTACTTTAATTCAGATTTTGATAATCTTTGTTTAATATAATCTTTTTACCGTACTATCAAACAGTTTTATATATATTTAACTGAATGTCAAATTAATCAGAATGACCGATAATAACCTTTAAATCATCATCCAAGTTACTCTTTATACATACAATCAAGTTGATATATAAAATAAAGAAGTAACTTTATAATGGAGTTTCCCATTATCTTTATCATTTTGAGCTTTTCTCAAGTGTCATAATCAAATTGATACATGTACAGCTTCATAATATACAAGTAGATAGGATAAGTGTTCGTTTAAAATCTATTTTTGGTTAAGTTGAAGTGTCTTAGTATTACTTTTGTCCTTAAAACTGTGATATAGACACCCCCCCCTCCCCATTTATTTTTTTTCTCAATTATTCAGCAAGTTAAGTACAGTCATGTATTCAGAAAAAGAACGTAATTGTTTACTTTACGCTTAAATGCATGCTTCTCAAGAAGTGTAATCACTGGGACATAGAGCCTGGGTTAATTTAAATTTAAAACAATTAAAGACCCCCCCCCCTCCCTCCTGTCATATTTATTTTTCCCCATTTTTTTATATCAAAAAGTTATTTAGCAAAATTGATTAAAGTTTACAGAATAAGATATACCCAGTAAATTGTGTATTCTGTTGAACACTTACATTTGTATGCTTCTGTGGAGTGGTAGCCACTGGGACATGCCAGACTCTGAGTAAATTTAGAACAGTCCGTATCATAATTCTGCTGGATTATATTGCCACTGTAGCTGTACTCCGTACAATAACCTGTAAATATTGTCAAAATTAGATGCCTGTGCATATAGCTAATGATATACAGTCACGTACAATGTCAATGTGTCTCAATATCACATCAAATGTTACTTTATGAAACTTTAAGATAAAGGGTGTAAAATATTTTTTTTCATTATCATTTAAAGTTATTCTAAGGGAAAAAAAGTTAAAAAAAAACATTATTTGCATAATTAAAAAAAAACACAAGAACCCAAGACAAAATGAACTGCTGTTTTTAGCTGTTAGATAGCAGCTGTGTTTTACCAGTTTTTCAAATTTACAGCTGTTATTTAGCAGTTCTCAGCTGTTCATTTCATAGCTGTTTTCAAACCTGTTTCAAGAGCAGTAAGCTTTGCTGTTTTTATGCTGTTCTTCAGCAGTTCATCTCATAACAGGTAATAAAGAAACTGCTTTGGAGTTAACAGCAGTTCTCTGTTTCTGTTAGCTGTTATGTATAATTTGATCGGGATTGAGAAACTGTTGAAATGTCGGGCTTGGTGTTCAATTAATTTAAACAACAGACCGCCAAAATTCAACAACCTTGGCTGCCATATTGTATAGTTTGGAGAGAAGGCAAGAGAATGTTTTGAAGAGGGGGATTACCGTCACCAATAAGACTGAGACTGGATTGTTATATCTAACAAAAGATGCAGATATTTTATATACAGTAGGTATGTTTTTAATACATATGTGTTTGTTAATAAATAAAAAAAATAAGAGCTCTAAATCTGCTACGTTTTAGCCACATTTCAGTCAGCTCAGAGAACTCTTGAAGACTTGATATAGCAAAGTTTTTGTTGTTGTTGTTTTTTTGTACTGATTTACCATAGTCTATACGATGTTTTTGTAGAAGGAGAAGATATAGGTGGATCTAGTGATTTTCTTGGACCTGATTCGGTCTTAAAAACGGGGCCTATATATGAGGTATATATTTCTTTTTTTTATTTTAGGAAAAGCTTTAGATATTAAAGAAAAATTTTAATTAAATCACTGATCAAATAATCATGAATGCCTTTAATTATTGTAAACAAATTGGCACAAAATTGAAGAAACTAAACTTGTATATATAAAGTTAGATTATAAAAGGTTAGCAATTAATTTTAATTTTATTTATTTAACTGTGAAACTTAGTGTGTTTGTTTTTTAACTGATAGGATTTGCCAATTGACCAAGAGCAGCCGGCAAACATTAAACATGCAGTGACATTACAAGTAACGAAGAAGTGGAGAAAATTTTTCATTGGACAGATGGATGTGAAGGAAGCCCCTGGATATTACTTGAATTGCGAGAAATGAATCAGGTGTGAAAGTGGCAAAGACCAATACCATAAGATGTTCCTATTAAAGATTTAAAATTGTAGCTGTTATTAATACAAATATTGTAAAGTATGTGTAATGTACTAATCAAGATTGATATAAAAAGTCTAAATATTCTTAGTAAATATTCTATATTACTGTGTTCCAATACCTAAAAGTGGTGTACTTTTTACTACCACTTGAATAGATTTCTATTTTATTCATTATCTAATGCTAAATAACTGCTGTTAACTGTTAATGGAATGTGTGTATGCTAATTACTAATTTGCATAAAGTGAGTGAACTGGAATGCTAAGGAACAGCTAAAGAACAGCTGTTAAATGAGAACTGGGAAGGTTAATTAACAGCTAAATTACAGCTGTTCATTTGGGAAGTCTGTGAACCAAAGTTTGAATTTAGGCAATGCCCCCGCTTTGATGTAAAAACCATTATTATAATAAGTCCTCTTCAGTTTTGTGAATATTTTGGCATAGCCAGATGCAGGGATGAACAAGAAATTGACATCGGAGTGGTTAAAAAAATAAAAGCCATCATAATTTAAGATAAGGAATTAACAAACATATTCCACGTACCTAGATGAATGTACATTCCATAAGCACAAACTTCCAGTGTCTGATTCACAAATGGATTTATCACACAATGGTACAAAAGTTTGTCCGGTTCAGTACATTGACTAGCAAAAGCTGAACAGTTTTTTCTTTGAGAAGCTTTTTGCCATTCTGATTCACTGGTTGGACAGTTTGGAACAATAGCCATAGTTTGTCTTGATACTGGACAAGCATCACTGTTAGATTTGACTTCCTGTGAGAGAAAGAAGAAATTGAATTAAATTTTCTAAAATAAAAAAAAGACTTCATTGCTTTTTGTTTTGAATAACCTTAAAAAATTAATCTTAGACATTTAGATTTTTTGTTTCTTTTTAAAGGCATAGGTTGATATTTTCAAACGCACTATATTAATCATGGTACAAAAAGAATGCACAAATATATGTATATACATGCATGATTTAAATAATTTATTTCAAACTTATTAGATTGGATTGAGTTATATAACAAACACACTAATGGATGAATGAATACTTTGACGGAAGTGATTTTTTCCCTCGATCTATGGCACTTGCTTGTATAATTTTACCAAGTGTAAATGTGGGCTGTATTCACATGTATATATTGAATTCTTCAAGGTGCACGGATGTGGACATAAGGATAACAGATTGGGGGTATGTACATTTTGAATATAATTGTTTGTAATTCATCTTTGTAGATGTCAAATATATATATTTTTATTCATGTAACTCGTAAATAAATTTGAAGATAACATGCCAAGGAAATTCATACTGTTTTCTGTTAATGTATACAAAAAAGAAAACTTATGAATATGTATAGAAATCTAAGTTAACAAAGCTACATGTAGTACATGTCTGTATTTTGAGAGATTGAATGAATATACCAGGATATAAGTTTCAAATTCCAAAAACTTTAACAAAATGACAGCTAGGTGTAGTTCCTACAACACCATAAAAAATATGCCCCAGTTATTCAAAAATATTTATGTTTCAGTACACTTTTCAAGTTATGTTGACAATAACGTATATATATATATGGACTATATATATACTAAGAAGTTGTAATTTAAACACCAACTTGATACAGCATGTTATCATTTTATATCTGTGTAAGGGACATTCACTTCAGAATTACACTTGGAAAAGTTTGAAATTGAGAAAAAAAAATATGCTATGCTTTAATGATGTCAATGACCTTCGCAACATATCCCTACATATTTACAATTAATCTGTTTATAGTTTATATACATTTGTATTGCAAGCACCCCCTTAAATTTTGTAGAAATTCAATATTATTTTCTTTTAAAAGGAACATATAGGGTTAACGTACATCTACTCTAATACTCTAGATAATTTGAGGAAAACAATTGTACTCATGCAATTTTGCGTTCTGTCCCAATTTTCACCCCAAAAATGATTTAATGAAATCAATATCGTAATTTTAGATATAAAAAGTCGCTAACTGAAAAAAATGAAATGATTCAAGACTTAAAGTCTTTTTATTGTCAGCTCAGACAGGTGACACTTAGTATAATGATAAATACACAAACATTGCTACTAGGAGACAAGATATTTTTTCTTTATTTTGTAATCACTTCAATGGTGTAGCTAGATATCAAATGTCAATCACCATGAACAAAAACGTTAAAGGTTTTAGGCTTAGTGCTATACATATATTTTATTTATCAAATCTTTTCAAAGAAATACAAAAGCTGGTTTAATTTCTGAAATAATGTGTCACAGCTACAATGGTTGTCAACCGATACAGCATATCAACTTCAAAGCCTATTCAAAGAGGAGGTGTAAGTATTAACAATGATTAAAATGCAACATACTTAAGATTGTTACCTTAAACAAGTATATACATGTATGGAAACTCTGCAGTTCCAGATTTTTTATTAAGGTATGTCACTCGTGAAATTTGTTAAATCAAGGATTTATTGAGAAGTATATTTTGGATAAGTACTCATATAGATAGAGTGACTCAAAATCGCAGAGAAAATAGGTGGACAGTGTTTATCTTACTGATCTACGGAACAATGAAGCTGACCTTTTTGCACTTAAATTTTAACTATATTGTTAATTACTTAAACCTTAATTATATTTTATCAGATGTAACAATGGCAAAAAATATAATCTTATTTTAGGTAAAATATTTTGAATAATATTCTCATTGAAAAAATCTTGCAAATTAATGCGCGTAAATTATTGTGTGACCTTTTTGCACTAAAAAGTTACATATTTTGGGGTATTTAAAAACTAAATATGCAATAAAGCATTTTATTAAATCAAGCTTTTTACGACTTAAGTGCTTAACTTATTTGACATATCTTCATTTTTTGGCAAAGTTTGTTGAAGGAATGTGTAAAACTTGTTCTCTTAATATAAAGTAAGACCTATATTAAATATTCCTAGCAATATCATAATGGAAGATATTCTCTGAGTAAAAGTATGCGAGTCTAAAGTTCCAAGATATTTTAAAAATTTAATAACTGTGCAGATTTGCAGAATTATCTGCTAAATATCCTTCCACTGCAAAAAAATAGTCCCTCACAAATCTTGCTTCTTTGTAGATTTTTGAGCAGTTTTTTCGTTGAGTGTTAAAACATTAACATTGTTGAAATTGAATTTTAAATTATCTATTTTGCATGTATAAGGAACATAATGAATGTCAATATATTATGTAACAGTGTGCATCTTAATTCATAAAAGACATGCTGGGTCATGCATCAGGAACAGACTGATTTCATTTAGGATGAAATGTCTAGAATTTTAAAGGAAAAATGAAGAAAAACTTATAAATGATAATAAAAGTATACCTTCAGTATCAGAAGATTGATCATCAAGACTTTTAATGACACTGCAAAGATAAATTTTGATTGAATTAATTTGATAATTATAGAATGTTTGATTACTTTTTAATTAAGGCCAGTATTAAAAATATCTGTGTTTGGTGGTGCACAATGATCAAGTTTCCAATGAGTCTATTTTTTTCAGTATTATTAATTATTATTTTTTTTGGATTTTTTTCTTAAATAACAAAAATGCACAAGCATAATTATCATAAGAAAATCAAATATTAGGAATCTTTTTTTATTCAAGTCTTTTCCCCCTCAAGTTTCTTTCTAAGTAAACTACTTTTAAAAAAAAAATGTTTTTAAGGTTTGTGACATCATTTTTATATTTGATAAAATGTGATCATTTCAACATGTTCAAAATACAAGAGGAATAAAGTAGGCCTAGTGATTTTTTTAAACAGGAAATTCAAAACAACAAAGAATCAATGTTGCAAATACATGTAAACACACCACTCTGTATTTAAGGTGACCAGTACAAATGAAGGAAGAATGTTTACTTATTTACACCCTACCAACCCCTAAATTATTGTTAAAAAAGAAAGTAGAATGCGTAACTATTTCTCATTTAATAATGGAAAGCGTCAGCAACTTTCTTCTAAAATATAGTTCATATAAACTCCCAGATTAAAACCTGTCATTACATTTGATTTTAAATAAATTTGGCCCTTTCATTTTTCTCTTTTCAGAGTTTTCGTGATCGCTGATTGATCTGACATGGACGTCTTCGAACTAAAAGGTATTCCCTCAAACGATGACTCATTGTTAACCCGTTTCCTGGTCTGCCATTCGTGAATATACTGAGATAACCACGTGTGTTCGCTGCGCCTCGGTTGACAACGGTTTTCTTGGGGTGAACATTTTCAATGTTACACTCCACTACAAACAATATTTATTAAATTATACTGAATGTTTAATACAAATACATATAAAAGTGAACCGTGAGCGCATAAATTCTGCGCAGTCGCTATTTTTTTTTTGGGGGGGGAATATCACCCGTTGTCAAGCAATTTTGAATATTATATTTTCATGTAAATTACTTGAATCTGATTCGTCGAAAAATATTTGATAAAAAACACTACTACCCGCTGAATAATGAAGCCACGCCCTCCTGCGTAGCAACAGTCAACATTGCTTGACGACGGGTGGTATTCCAAAAAATAGCGACTGCGCGGAATTTATGCGCGCATGGTTCACTGTAATATGTATTTGTATAAAACATTCAGTATAATATAATAGATATTGCATGTAGTTGAGTGTAACATTGAAAATTTTCACCCCTCGAAAACCATTGTCAACCTCGGCTGCGCCTCGGTTGACAATGGTTTTCTTGGGGTGAAAATTTTCAATGTTGCACTCAACTACATGCAATATTTATATACTGTTGCTACGCTGGAGGGCGTGGCTTCATTATTCAGCGTTTAGTAGTGTTTTTTAACAAATGTTTCTCGACCAATCGGATTCAACTAATTTTCATGAAAGTATAATATATATTATTAACATACCAGTCGTTGGAAATGTTAATAATCAATATTTTTGCTTGAGAATTATACAGAAAGAGAAATTAAATATTTGCTTTATTGGGATGATCGTGATATAACAATTTGTGCACATACACTGATGAGTGCGTATTGTAAGTGAACTATTTTCAATAGCGCGGGTTTTTCGAAATGTTGAAATTGTTGAAGAGTTTCGTGTTTCATATATCTTTCGATGATTTTCTATTAGTGGTTATATTCTGTTTTGCTTTTTAGCAAATCAATAATATAGTGAATTGGAATTTTAAGATGCATTAAGTCGCCTGAAAATGTATGTGTATGTATCAGTGTTACTACATGTAGTTGGCTATTAAAGTACTGCTTGTTTGAAGCTAAACGAAAGTCTTTAAAGTATAAACATGTGCATTATTTCAACTAATCCAAGACTGAATTTTTAAATTCTGAGAAAAAATGCTTATTGAATAGAAAATCTGCGAGAAGTTCTTGGAAATATTAATTATAAGATTATAAAATCATTACATATCTTAGGGTCTAGACTGTTAAATTTAATTACTGGTATATATAGGATATTGTTTTAAATCATATTCGTACAAAATCTACCTGTTAAGAATCAATTGCCAAAAGGAAAAAAGAAAATAAATATGTAATTATTTCAGATCAGACAATATACTCGAGCAAATTAAGCCCGGCTTTTAGTTCTTTCAATACTTTTATTGCTCAGCAAATTAGAAAAATGATTTATGCTTCAGTGAAGTTTCTTTAGTATGCAAGAGCGGATCCCGAAAGTCGGGAGGGGGGTTGGGGTTTTTTTGCTGTACATACATGTAAGACCACCTTCTACACACACACACACCCAGCTCTTGCAATTTTTGAGATTTGTGGATCCACCACTGATTTGATCCCCGCATGCTTAAAGATCGATATTTGGAACTCCTTTTTTCCATTTTTTCCAATACGTAATAAAGAAGTGCACCCACCATGCATGCACAGGTCTTGGAAATGGGGGGGGGGAGAGGGTAGTAGTCCAGAATATAAACACCGACCCTTTATTGAAATTTCTATTGTAAGGGGAAAATACCTTGCACCTACCCACTTAAAAGGAAACACGGGCCTCTTGTTTGGTTTATTTTTCTTGTCTTGTGAAGATTCATGCATGTACATGTATAAGAAAATTCAATTTTGAAAGAGATCGACATGCTCTTCTATACATTTTCTTTCTTTTACTGCAATTATGGCAAGTAATGGGGGTTGAGTGGGGATGGGGTAGGATTTTTCTTCAGCCCAGCTTTTAAATTGTACGTCATGCTTCGTTTAAGCTTACGACCTGCATTGTAATTAAGTCACCATTAATCAAAGTCCATGTTTTACTCCGGGAGACGATTAAAAAGTATCAAACTAGAAAGTTAAATAGCAGAGGTACTTGTGGACAGGACCCCCCCCCCCCAAATATTCAGCCCCGGGGCATGTTGGACATTTTTTTTCGCAAAAAATACTACACTATAGTATATTATTTCAGGGTTATACTGTAGAGTGGGGAATTTTTTTGTGGAGCGGTTATTTTGGGGTTTTAACGATTTTTTTTTCTATTGTACTCATGATGAATGAGTGTAGTTATGTTATCAAGATAAAAGTACGTATTTGCTTAATGGTTTAATTTCTTGGATCTTTTTGTGGGGATGGGGTTGTATGAAACTGTGAAAATATGAGTGAGATAGTGTGTCTTTCATGGATTTTATATCATTGTAGTGTATGTATCACCCTCTGCTTTTCTTTACCAATGTGATGGATTGGGGAATTAGCTGTGTCTGATGTGAGAGACTCACAATCGCAGTATAAATCTAAAAAGGCAGAATCAAATCTGTAGAATTTCAATGAACTTTATTGTTTGAGACCAGATCGGAAAGTGGTTTCCAATACAAATGAAAAATCAAGCACGTTAAATCTTACAAATAGTCACACAACACCGAAAGTATAAAAACATTAAAAATGTAAAAAAAAAAAATATTATTTATAAACAAAGTCATGAAAGTTACGTGACAAAATCACCATCAGAGAAAAATCCATTTACTTAAGAAAATATCTGTACAAACTTTTATTTTTAAATCAATACAAAGAATAATAAAGTACGGAAGCCCTGGAGGGACATTGACTTACTTGTTATGACTTATTTGTTATAACTTTTTTGTTTTGACTTATTTGTTTTGAGATATTTTTTTGTTACTTCTAATTAAGTGCAGGTAAGCTATTGAGAACGATTAATTGTAGTTTTGTAGTTAAACGTACAAAACTGATGTGATTACTAAATTTTCATCTGTTAATTACGGACGCCCTTGAGAGATATTGACTTATTCCTTATGTGTTTTGACTTATTTCTTATGTTTTTTGAATTATTACTTATGTGTTTTGGCTTAGTTCTTATGAATTAACTTTGAATTCTTGTTATTTTGAATTTGTTATGACAAGTTTAGTTTACAAAAAGTAGCGTGAAAGATGAAGACAACGTATAGTTTCAGAAAAAAGTCCTTGAATTTATTACTAACGACAAAATGAAATACATAGTAGTGATTGTCAGTTTGTCAATCATAATGCAAACTGGAAGTTACATATAAGAATAAAGTAATAACTTTTAGAAAATAAGAATTAAGTTATAACAACAAAAAGAATATTTACTTTAGAAATCACAACTGTACTGGACGTTAAACTACAATTTGTTAATAAAAAATCACAGTTAAAATTGGACTAAATATCATTTTCATCATAAAAGTAAGCCAAGCAACAGGTTTTCAATAGCTTTCTTACACTTAGTTATAACTAGCTATGAAACATTCACAACAAATAAGTAAAAACAAAAAAGTTATAACAAATAAGTCTTAACAAGTAAGCCAATGTCCCTCCAGGGCTTCCGTAATAAAGCTTACCGAATAAACTGTTATAGAAGTTTGTCATAATGATCAATCGAACAAAAGCCGAAAATCAAAGATCAGAATTTTGCGCTATAACTTTCGATTTTAGCTTGTAAACACTTATTTCAACGCCTCCGCTTACTAGAGGGTTACACATGAAATTTTAGCGGTAAATTCGAAATACAAAAATTTCAATGTAAACAAAAGTAAAAATTCAAAGAAAATCTTTTCAAAAAATGAGAGGCAAAATATGATTAAGAAATTATCTAAAAAATAAAGTGAATTGATATGAGTTACAAAATACCATAGAATGTTTTCTACAAGTGAGTTAAGTACTTCAGTTATCAATGAAAATTAATATTGAACATAATACTGTAACAGTTAAATAGTCAAACGAAGAAATCTACAAATTTCCTATAAAATTCCTTAGTAAACCTAAATTAAAAATTACTGATTTAACTAAATATTGTTATTTAAAGATAAAAATTATTTAAGAAATTCAGAATTGAAATTAATAAAAACTTCAGAATCAAATCTGTAGAATTTCAATGAACTTTATTGTTTGAGACCAGATCGGAAAATGAAGATAGTTATAGATAAGTTTAAACATTAGATTTAAACTTTTAATATAACAAATGTGTTGTTTGATTTGATAGTAGGAAATTACGGAGTTTCCTTACGTGATAGTTTTTTAAACACCCAACACACTAATTAAGTTTTATTTTGTTATTTCAATGGTTCTGTACAGATTCTTCTTTATACTTCACCACTCCTTCTTTAAAGCAAACATATATAGATCCGCACTTTCTCTTTTTCCACTTTGGACATGAACCTTTTTGTCACCTTTGTGTCTTGTTTATTGTGCTGTTTTTTTTTCATTGCGCTCACTTTGAACCGAGAGCACGGACTTTGTTAAAAATAAAATGGATGAGCTACCAGATATTCCAGATGGTAAGTTTAATTTGCCTCTGTTTTCTCTTACGGTTCAAACTCAAAAAAGTATGATTCTCTATATATTATTGTAATTATACCTGCATGTTTAATATATATATATATATATATATATATATATATATATATTTATTGGAGGGGGTATTTATTTATTTATGTGTGTGTGTGTGTGTGAGGGTGTGTGTGTGTGTGTGTGTGTGTGTGTGTGAGGGTGTGTGTGTGTGTGTGTGTGTGAGGGTGTGTGTGTGTGTGTGTGGGTGGGTGTGTGTGTGTGTGTGTGTGAGGGTCTGTGTGTGTAAGGGAGGGTGTGTGTGAGGATCTGTGTGTGTGTGAGGGAGGGTGTGTGTGTGTGTTTGTT